AAATCAAACAAATGTCCCTATTTTTCATTAACGTTGGCTGTCACCTAACCGAACTAGATTTACAATCCAGGCCCTGGATGTATCTTTGTATTATTAAAGATAGATGTTATAATTTTTATACATATTAATTAAGTATTAATTTATCTGGTATAATATATTAGTTATATAGATATAAATTACAAACAACATAATTAGCTTGTAAAACCTGTCATATATATCTTTTAGGTTCATCATGGCTTGCCCTATTATTAATAGAAAAAAAGGCATATAACTAATTTAATTAAATGCTACATGATTAAATTGCATCTAACATTTAAATATTTTTAGTGACACTTAATATTTTAAACCAATTTCTTATGTATTTAGCATCCTAAACTTAATAGTAACGAGTAATCAAAATATTTCAAAGTTCACATTTCACACCAAATTTAATTAAGTACAATATGATTAAAATGTATATGACATTTAAATGTTTTTTTAGTGACACTTAATATTTTAAACTAAATTGCATATGCATTTTGGCATTCTAAATTTTTCTTAATAGTAATGAGCAATCTAAATTTAAAATACTTAGTATTATCAAAAAGCTATTTCAAAATTTCTTTAATCCAAATACATAGGCCCTCAGTCTATATTAATTTTTGAGATTCAAACCCATACAAGTTCTAATACCAAACCTCAATACGTATCATTTTCTTCTTCTTAAAGAAGTTTCATCCTCAAACCTGTTTTTTTGACAGAGGTAAGATTCAAACTCGTGCGACCTCTGATACAAAACCCTAAGAACGAAACAGTAGCTATTGTGTAAAAAACCTAACCTAATAACAAAAGCACACCTCAATTTCTTTAACCTAAATTAAATACATGTCCCCATTTTGTCTTAATATTGATTGCCACCCAAATTTACAACCCAGGCCAGGCCCTAGACGTATCACTGTATTATCTATAGATAGATGTTATAATTTTTTATACACATTAGTTAAGTATTAATTTATCTGGTATAATGTAATAGTTATATGGATATAAATTATAACAATATAATTAGCTTGTTAAACTAATCATATACTCCTCCGTCCCTTAAAACATGACCTATTTAACTACCTTAATTAAATTAAGAAAGTTAATTAAATTGGATAATAATAATAATAAATATGGTGTATATTTCAAAAAAATACTCCTAGGTAAAACTTCTTTGAAAAACTGACATTCAAAAAAATTTAGACTCTAGCTAAGTCGCCTTCATGTTCCAATCCAACATCGTTGAAATTTTCTCAATCCAACTTCTTTTATTTTTTTTGGTTAGCAAGGAGGGTGTAACTTATGGCCCGTTTGGTTGGATTACATGAATGGGGAATACATGTAATCCTAATGCATCCCCACATTTCTGATGTTTGGTTGGTCAAAAATAATGTAATGGGTATTACATGATAGCATTATGATTCCCTTAAATCCAGTAATAGGGATTACATTAAAAAACCTATGTAATCCCCATTACCGCCAGAATCCACTCTTGACTTTCCTACCCTTCATCCTCGTCATGGTGTAGCTTCAACCTTCAAACCACATCGAAAGCAATCTTCACCTGTATGCTTCTTCTCACCACTGACTGCCACCATTGGCAGCACGTTATTGCATAAACGAGAACCACATCGTCCTTGTGTGCTTCTTATCCATGAAGAATTTGCTCAAATCTGAAGACCATGATTTCTCTTCCAGATCCAAAGCCACAAGGGGACAAATGAAGGTTGTGAAGAGTTTTCTCAAACCCAAAATTTTTCCTATTCAAAATCTAAAGCCACGATTTTGATTTTGTTGGGCCGACGGTGGACAAGGGGAGGAGGAGGACAACGGGCGGATGGGAGAGAGTTTTCTCTATTAGGGATATTTTTGTCCTTAACCTCTTATTTAAATTTAATTAAATCAAAATATTAAATTCCATTGTAGAGCGTACCAAACACAGTCATGTAACGCATATTGCATTACATTCCATTCCTCTCCATTACACTCCATTCCATTACTGCGCATTCAATGAACCAAACAGGCACTTAGTTTATTGTTTTGCATCTGTTTCGTTGTTCATTGTTAATTTCCCTGTTTATAAAAAAAAAGAATCAATTTTTATGTTTTTCTTCTAGGAGGAATTTTTTTTTCTATTTGATTGGGTAAAATATAAATAAAAAATTATGTTTTTCTAGCCACAAAGAAAATAGATAATATGATTAATATTTTATTATGCTATTCTTTCGAAGTAAAAAAATCCAATCACCTTGAATGGGTATTTGTATGAAAATATTCATTTAAAATTTTTTTAAAATTATTTTATTAAAAATATAAAATGGTAGAATTGATGTATGTGTGGAATTAATGAGTAATAAGTACTCACTCGCTTTATAAAATATATAGGGGTATTATTATTGAGTAATAAGTATTATTGTGGTATTTAATTATTTAATAGGGGTAATTTAGAAAAAAATTGGTAAATATGAGAAATAATTTTATATTTAGAGTCAAAATCAACCTTCTAATTAGGTCATATATTAAGATTGGATAAGTATATCTTTTAGTTTCATCATGACTTGCCCTATTATTAATAGAAAAAGACAACTATTTGTTTATTTATTGATATTATAGAATAAATAGCTTAAAATGAATTTTATTTTTACATAAATTTTATTATGCGCGTCAAATGTTTAGTTATGATCTAACAATACTACACACACAATATATATATATATATATATTAAATAATCATATACGCATGATCATTTATTATACTAAATTTTAAATCCTTATAAATGATCAATTCATAAATATATTGTATAAAATCCTTGAAAATGTTAAAATTTTCACAAAAATATAAATAATGTAATCCATTTCAAATTCTGAACAAAATACGAATACCACGGTTTAGTTTTATATTACAAAGAAATGACATATTGAAACATAATCGGTCATGCATACAGAATTTTATGCAACCTGGCATATAAAAAAAAAAAGCTATTATACCAATATTAGAATATAACATTTTGATTAATAATTAAGGCCAAATATTGTTCTTATTTGCAAATTGCAGAATCTGATGCCTTTCAAGTTCCTAATTCAATAATACACCAATTCTTGCAGTATATCAGCATGAACATCAACTTTTTTCTATTCAATAATTATATCATTATAAATAGAAGAACCGTATTATTGAATTTCTTGTGTTCTGTTGTTAGGAACATATGGGTCAACATCTGTGTTTTTTAACAAATTAATTAAATAATTATCATCTTTTAAAAATACAGACAAACTTTCGGGTCATGCAAAGTGCAGCATCATCAAGGGTGGCTATGAAGAGATTATGGTTTATTTTTTTTAAAATATTGATGGATTTTTTTAAAAAAAATTGGTAGGCACACGGCAACTTGAGGGATTGAGAAAATAATATCAAGGAGATAATTAATTTGCATGTTCATTAATGAACAAGGTTGATGAAAATATAACGGGAAGAGTTGAGTTTGTGTTAATTGTACAATGGACACATTGTCTTCGGAAATTACTATAGCAAAAATAGCAATCAGTGAAGTGACATAGAAAACTTATTGAGATTAATCTTATTAATTAACAATATTAGTCTAATTTTGCGGATAATTTTTGGATCAAGGGGAAGAACTCAATATTTAATAAACAAACTCAACTTAACCCTAACCATTGCTTATATAACACTATGAATTATATTTTATGTATACATAATCCTTTCAAACTTTGAGTTATATGCATATAAGTCCTTTAAATTTTAGAATATATGCACATAAGTTGTGAACAAAATGGCTAGTAAAGGAGCTATTTATATAAATGTAAGAGTTTAAGAAATTCATTATAAATTCTCAAGATTTAAAAGGATTATCTATATATAATATAAAGTTCAGAAGAATTATATGCGATTTTTTTTTAAAAGAAATTGATTGATATAGTCGAAGTTTTAAGAGAACTTAGAAGGTCCAACAAATTAAATAAATCCATATAAAGGTATAAGTATATAACTATATTGGGAAGAGCATTATCCTTTTCTAAATTCGGTGTTGTATCTTTTTGACAAAAAATACTAATATATAAAGTATAATTAACCCAATTTGGCATGAATAAAATCAAATCTAGTGCATATAATAATTTGTTTGTTGCGTTGCAATTAATAATATATACTGATATTCTGGCAAAAAAAAAAAAAGCACTGATATTGTGGGAACAACTCAATATATTCTTTGGAACCCACAAATACGATAATAATATTAATTACAATAATAGTAATAATAATTGAAGTGAAGAGATAATGGTTGTTGGAGTTCAATTAGTGGTGAGTGGTTGTTCTTGTATTGCTTTCAAACTTTAACGAAACTTTCAAATTCTATATTCCAAACAAACTTTCCTTTGGGCTAAAAACAAAGAAGCATTATTCTTGCTTTTTTCATGAATTAATTTCTTTCGAGAGCATGGATATTTAACTATTAGTCTATGCATAGTCAAAATTTAAAATCTTAGATTTAATTAGAAAAACGAAATAATTTTTAACATGGCCTGCAAATAAACTACTGTTTTAACTGAAAATGTTGTACTTCTTTCGGGAATGAAAATAGCTATATCTGAGGCCTCGTGCTGTGAAATGCCAAAGGGTAGAGGCACACTACTCATGACATGGGAATGACTTCTCAGTGACTATATAACATACTAACTCTAACCTTTAATATAAAAATTTGTTTGACTTTTAATTTACTTTTAAATATAAAATCCCAATCTATTTTATCTTTTATATTTATTTATTTTTTTCTTGTACATATTAAATGTTTTATTAAATGATTAGTAAAAACATTTTAAGAAAGACAATATCTATTTATTACAAACTAATTTAACTAATTTTCTTAATCTACTCAAATTAGTTAACTAACTCTTATATTAAGTAGTACAATGACTTGGCATGCAAAAGCACGGCATTTTAGATAACTATTATGATACATTTGTCATCACTGTTAAAAGTATTTATTTTTGTAACAGTAAAAACATCATTAATGGACAAATCCATTTCAGACGTTCAACTTCTAAGCATTTCCGGCCTTGTAATTCAGTATTATTCGAAACCTAGAGAATGCAGAACCACTTAATGTAAATCATACATATAACTCAATTAAAAAACCAACAGATGCCACCTTTTTCGGCAAGGTAGCTAACACCTCTTTTTTTTTTTTTGTTTCCTTTTTCTTTTGTGAATTTTCATTCAGGGTTAACATTTGATCGTTCTATTCTTCCAATATGTCATTACATGGAGCTTTAAATCACATCTACAGAGCATTCTATCACAGATCAACAGCTTCCATTTTTCTCTTTGCCTGAACCATAGGGCATCAGACAGTCAAACACTACCAAATTTTTCCACGGAGAGGCTCAAAAAATCAAACAGTCCAAAGGTGATTGACAATCCATGTCAGGCTCCGCTTTGAGTAGAAAAACGAGGTACTCGACCAAGTGGTATTATGAGATCTTTCAAGCAATCATACTCTTCCACACCTATGTGGGATCCATCTAACACCTGTTTCCTCAAGTCAACAAGATAATAGTTAACAAAGAAGTTACATAGAAGTCACATAAATGAGGTTTGCCCTCAATTATGAGATAATACTCAACAAAAATATACAATTTAACCTTCAGTATATTTTAGAATGGAGAACAAAAATGGAAGAGAATATTTTTAGACGTTTTTTGGTTGATATTTATGAGAACATTTTCTTTTTTTTTTCTATTATCATCATCCAAATAGGGCCTTAATTTTTCTCAGCAAGAAGCTTTCAAACAATGCTCAAATTAAAAAAAAAAAAAGATGAAATATAATTAAAAGACAAAATCAACTTGGTAGGCAGGTACTTTCAATGGGCCTATCTGTGATAGTGTTCAAAAACACTAATAAGCATGTTTCACGTAAACTAAGACAAAACTCCTTCTCTCATAATTCCATAAATCATGATTAAAAAACTACTTATAAGCCAATCCAAATGGGCCCAGTGTCACAGGCACAAGCTATAATCTCTGTTTGTGGCGATGGCCATAGGGCTAAGAATATATCGCCATAGCTTTATCCAAATACCCACTACCTTTATAATTTTTCCAGTGTAAAAAATGAGCTAGATAATTTTTTTTCAAAAAGAAACTTCCAGCATGCGAGCGGAGAACATTGAATGAAGTAGAAAATGGAAGCAACGCAGATGTTATACAAGGGGTCTTACCTTGGGAAGAAAGATCCTCCTATCTGTGATGTACGGGATAAGAGCAGGTATTTTACAAACAGACAATGCTTCAATGAACAGAAGACCAACCACTTGCCATTGTCTCATTCTGAATGCTGGAAGTGCATCCATAAATGACATAGTATCCAGCAAGCGTTCCTAAGTGGTGATGAGGACACAATCAAATATAGCCCATCCACAAAAAAGTAATGCAGCTGATTCAAAGTGTTGCGACTGACTAAATCTCATTTTCAAGCACCATAAAGATTTATAGTTTTAAGTTATTCACTCACTAAGCAAGATACAACACTTCATCTTTAATGTATATAGCTCTAATTCAATGAATACACGAGTTGACAAGCAATAACTAGAGACATTGCAACCCTTATCTTCAACATACCATCCATAAGTGGCCAAAGAGTTGTTGCAATCCTGACAGGACTCTGACGGTTTAAGTTTATAATCAGTGATTTTTGCATAATTTCTGAGCTCTCACACGATGTTTAACTTTTATATTGCTCACCCAAAACAGAGTATTTTTATCCTCTAAAGCAAACTATAATAAACTATGATCCAGTTGACACTACAAAGAAGCAAAATAAAGGAAAAGGGGCTGAATTTATTGATCAATCAATCAATTCTGTAAGAAGGCTAAGATCCCATAAGACATCAGCATTCCATAGGCATTGCAAGTAACTCTTTATTCCACTAGGACATGAAATCCAAAACTTGATCGCAAACAACCCTACTGCAAATAGGAAATAAATTCCTAATCAAACTTGCGGAAAAAAAAAACAAAATCCCAAAACCAAACCAACTTTTCATTGCCAAGTTCCCATCTACACCCTATCCCAAATTACAACAACTAAACTACAATCACAATATTTTCCTCAACTCTACATAGTACAGGCCTAAAGCCTATCCTTATAAAAACCAAATAATGCATCACTGCTGTGGGATTCCAGTAACCTGACAGCAGAAACTGTCATCCATGGCCTTAAACCCACATCAAGTCACCCGACCCTAATTCCAAACAAACACATTTTGTCCCTTTTATAGAATAAAGTAATTTGGGAACCTTAGAATTCTTCACGATTCCCAAAAAGCAAGCTCTTTTCTGTCCCACATTCACCATTTTCCATAAACAATAATGATATTCATGTCATACTAAATATGAAGGAGGGTTTACTTTATCACCGAATCAGCATTCAATTATAGTATATGCTGGCCCTTATAAAAGGCAGTGAATTATATATCTCCATAAATTAAGCCATGAGGAATGACTAAGCAACAACTATCCTCTGTTCCAAGTTTCATTTTTTGACTCAACAATGACAAATCATAATCCAGAACAAAAATCACATAACTCCTATATCATACCATCCCTTTCTCCAAGGTAGATATCGGTGTTGGCAACCTGAGATCAGCAACGAGTCCAGGTAAAGCTCGAGCAAGACAACTAGCAAGAGCCTGTTTTATTTCAGATGACCGACCATCAGCTAAGATAACTTTACAGGGATATTCTCGCCCATTAACTGTTAGATATTCTTCATGTGAGCTTTCATCCCTTCCATAGATGAATGCTAGAGAAGATGATGTTATCCATGAAAATAAAGCATTCCACATCATTGCAAAAGGTGACAACTGGAAGAAGTTAACAAAGCATTAACCACTTTACACATAAAAGCATGTCTTGAAAATGCAAACAACTTGCAGAAATGTTCACAGTACTTACAGTCAAACTGAACCCCTCTGGTGGCGGGTCATACCATGAATCTTCCAAGTCAAACAAATCATTATCTGAAATTCCAGGCTTTCTAGGCCATTTCAGAGAAACTAGATCCTTTTCTCTTGAATCAACTTCTTCTACAGTCTGCTCTTCACCAGGATCTTGAGGGCTTGGCAATATAATTATACCAGCTTCAGAAACTAAACAAGATTTAGGAAAAAGTCAAGAAACCTGTAAAAAATGAGCAGTAAAGTCTAACTAGAAACCTAAAAAGGAAAACAGAAATTACCAGCCTCAGCAATATCAGATCCTCCAGATGCAACTGCTTCTGATGCCTGGCTCAAAGCAACTGCACAGGCTTCTGCTGAGGCATGACGCAAAATAGCTTCATCATCATCAACATATGTACTACCTACCAAAGATTCTTTTACATCGCTCATTTCCTTAACCTCACAAAGACTCTTACTCCCAGAAGTGTCCATTTTCTTATCAGCCCAGGTAACAGAACGACTAAGTTTCTTCTCACCAGATGTTTTAAGAGCAGACTTGAGTTTATTCTTGCTCAACCCAGTTTCCTTCTCTACAAGTTTCTCTTCAGCATCTCCAGCATTTAATTTGAAAGCAGAAGTGTTGCCATGAGTGGCAACTACACTCTTTTTCCCATTTAGTTGCAGTGATTTCTCCTGAGACTCATTCTGTTCCACTTCGCATTGTCTTTCTGATATGAGATTGTGGTTATCAACACCACTTTTGCCTAATCTTTCAATAGAAGATTTGGGCATTTGTTCGGATGATATGATGCTTTCCCTGGCATTTAGTTCCTTCTCTGCATCTGACATACTTATATGAACACCACTTTTAAATGATGAAGACAGCTCCTGAATTTCATGATCACTGTTCCTCACAATTTTATTACTGACTCCTGTTGGCTGCTCCAATTTCCTCTCAGAATTAATCTTCAAAGTATGAGATGATGATTTCAGACTTTCTATTTGCTCTTCTAGATTTTGGTGATTCATTTTTGACGGTTTAACTTTAAAATCTGAATTTGTCTCTTTCAGATCCAACGGCAATTTAGATACATTATACTCATCTTGCGCAATTAGAGTGCTGGTGAAATCCATCTGATCGATAATCAGATTTTTACTGCCACCTAACTTGCCATGACTGGCTTTAGACCCTGCAATGCACAATCAAAGCTCACTTTCTCATAAACGAAAATAGAAATTAGTGATTCCATTCATCCACTTCATAAACATAGCAACAATTAGATCCCCAGCTCTAAAGTTGTATGCTAACCCACTAGCTTAAAATTGGACAGATTACATGTAAGACAATAGCAAGAAAAAGCATATGCATCTGACTAATTATACATCTAAACCAAAAATGCCATGAAATTCTCACCTTTTTTAATATTCATCCGAGAGGAACCCTTAGAATTACCATCTCTTTGTTTTGGGACATAGCCTTCAATAGCATTTGATGGACCAATCCACTGCTCCAGAGACACATCTCTAGTGCTAGTTTCTGTTTTTTCCTGAATTGTCAAGCCAGACAAACCTAATTCTTCAGTCTTTCCAACTTTTTTGTCTGGTTCCACATCCATATTGCCAAACAACCTAAGAATTTCATTAAGTTTCTGTGTGTCTAAAACCGAGCACCTCTTGTCTTGCAAGCTCCCGGCAAAGGATTTACTATTAATGACACAACTGGAAGAACAATACTTGTATGTCTCATGTAGATCATAAACCTTATGCTCCTTCAAAGAAATTCTATATCTACCCTTCCGAGGGCGATCGGATTCAGATGGCAAAGGATTAGAGCAGAGTGGATAACCACAAATGTCTGTTATGTATCGTTCAGTTACCACATCTTCATAATCACTCCTTGACATCAAAGATCCTGCTGCAAACAACTGGTTTTCATTTTGAATGCCTTCAAGAAGAAATAGTTGCAATTTAAAAACTGCATCTTTCACAGATGCTGGTTGGTCCTTGGCCATCTTGAAGAGCAAATTTCTGGAACTGCAAAATAAAGAGAGAGCACATGATTAGGTTACTTTGCCCATCACATTCTTGGCCTAAACTCCAGAGTAATGGTTAAGTAAAACATGGTACTACATCATAATCAATCAAAATTACAGCTAACTTTCAAATAGGAAAATGATGGTTGAGGAATACATAAAGAAACAAAACAAAACAAGCTCTTAGTTACTATTTAAGAATTCTATTTCACACCTAGCATAAGCAACAATTTTACATTAGCTTGCATAGTTTCAATAACTTAGTAAAAACCAAAACTATACTAAATAAATAAGGAAACTTTAACTAGAAGTTGGATGTGCCAGAATGCCTCTCTTAAATGTCTGACAAGCAACATGAGAATGAAAATGTGAGTTGCCAAAAAAAAAAAAAAAAAAGAGATCAAGGTTTTTACGTCAATGTTCCTTTGCGTGTTTTCAATTAAATCATTGAAATTTAAAACATATATACAAAACCACAAGTACAGAAGAAACAATGCTTGCATCCAACAGAAACCCCAACATTGAAACCCGTTCTCTTACAGTTGAATTGTTTGCATTCCAATCCCCTTTTCCCTCCATGTCCTTGGAATCCAAACAAAGACCAATGGAGCCAAAATTCACAGATAAACTAAACTGATGAAGAACAATAAATCCATTCATAAATGGATACTAAGGGTTTGTCTGGTGCTAGAGATGGTTGTCTCAAATTCATGTGGTGGTGGTTTCACCATAGATGTTTATAATACATCAAAGGTCAAGTGTCAAACTAAATTCAACAGAGATCACATGAAATTCAACAATCCTATTATGAAAACCACCTATCCATACATACCTAAAAAGACAGGATCAAAAAGAAGGATGAAGCAATGGACCAAAGACTAATGTCAGACCCAAATTCACCCGAGTTCATAAAAAAAAAAAAAATTTAAAACAGTGAGGCATCATAAAGCAACAGACAAAAGATTTATTTCAAATTCCCGTCTAAATCTGTAACACTTACGCTTTGACTTCTGAACCCGGAAAACCAAGTCCAATAAGGTTTAGACTTTCTTGTTTTGTTTATTCCATCTACTTGCTTAGTGTCATGACCCTCTCCCTCTCCTAAACAGGATGATAACAAGACTGAAAAGCAGAAATAAACAACAAACGAGAGTGGGAAACAACAAAGAGAGAGGGGAAAACTTGCTGTTACTGGATAAACAGGTTTGATTACAAGGGAAAGGATGATTCTTACACTAAGATACATAAGCGAAAACCTAAATAGGGATTACAAATCAACAATAAACAGAACAAGACACAACACAATGACATGTAAATATAACAGGTTTGCCAAGCTTTTGAGAGGTTGGCACTCTCCACCCAAAGGGCCAAAACCCCACTTCAAAAGTTCTCTGCCTTTCCTGCTAAACCAAATGGAAGATTTATAGACTCAAAAGGTGACTTTCACAGCCCCCAACTCATAGACTTTGACTATAGCAGTCATATAGCTTCCCTATTCTCTACTTTCTTCAAAATAGCAAGTCAAACTTCTTCCAATAAAAAGTATTTTCCTTTTTCATGTATCTTCCTAGGTTTCAAAAGATGGTCCTAACACTTTGTATTTGGACTAATCTTACCACACAGAACAGACTTGCAAAGCCACTACGTTCTACTGCCAAATGTCACCTCACATCCACTAGATAATAAAATATGAAATTTCTCAAACGGACATCTTCTCAAACAAATAGATGGTTTAGAAGCGATCTAACAATTCTAGGGTATATCTCTTAACAACAATATCTCAAGCAAATGAATAACAATAAACATAATCTTTAGCGTAAGAGTAGCAATCAACCATGTTTCTCATCCAAATGAGTGGCAATTAACATAACCTGTCAGGTAAGGATCACTACCAATTACGATTTGCAAAAAAAGACATCTTCACTTAGAGGGCAAGGGAACTGACACAATTCGGAAAACAGCTTAGAGAGAGATGAGAGAAGGGGCTACAATTAACTTCACAAAAAATCCAATTGTTCTGTTTATGACCCATCTAGCAATTACGACATCACAATATAACCAGCTAACTTAGCAAAAAATCCAAAAGTCAAAATGTATCACGTTAAAGTCACAAGAGATTGTTTCTTTTCATTCAGTGAGCTGAGCGCGCGCTATCCATGGACAAAAATTATATACACTCCAGTTGTGGCCCAATGTAGTTCTTCAATATTTACTATACTTAATGTGCGAGTAAAAGAAAATAAGCTAGCTCCAAAACACAGTTCGTTTAGCACAAACAATTGAAAGGTCCAATGGCAAGATGCACGGAAATATATTAAAAAATGGAAAGTAAAGCTCACAACAAGTTCAGGGCACCAACAAAGTTCAGCTTCCAAGTACCAAGACTGACAGCACAGACAAATCAACCTTTCCAAATAGCTCAAAAGAGGTAAACTTGCATCATTTTATTCACATAGGGCTTCAGCAATTATGGAAGCCAATTGAGACTATTCATGAGCCACATCTATAAATTTACAGGAAAACTTGATAAAGAATATGTTAAAATCAACTGGTGTGTCCCCCACGACCCACAGTGTGGGGACACCCTGGTTTTTAAGTCGTACGAGCTGCTCCGTTGGATCCTGCCTATCACTAATGATATATATATATATATATCTTAACTCCAAGCAAAATTTGATGAATTTATAGCCGAACAGGGAGGAAGGTGAAAGCATCAGTTCAGAAATAAACAGAGAAACGAGTTGAATCAATTAACCAAAGCCAGAAACAGAAGGCCAAAGAACGGAGGGGAAAATGTTTTTTTTTTAATAAAATATTCTTTTCTTGATCTCAAAAATTAAAAACAATTTTCCGAAACAAGAAACCAGAGAGGACCATAATTTGTTTGCTACCAATGAACGAGGATGAAGGATCGTGTAATGGCCGTTCGCTGCTGGTATCCTGGTCGATTGCCTTAACTACAGCTTAAATTTACTGATTGCCTCAGCTCCGCCACATCTCCCTCAGTCCCTCTGGTTCGTCTTGTCCATGTACGGGAAGCTCTCCTTTCTCAACTTAATTCTCTGCCTTGCATTAGGTCTATATGGGGCTCTGAGTAGAATTGGAAACCGACCACTTTGGTGTAATAATCAAAGACTAGGCTCTATCAATACCGCCGTAGCCGCACAATGGTTAGATGAATCTGACGGTTTTATAATGTTAAATAAATTAATGAAATGAGAAAGAATCATGGCCGCTAATTTCTTCCAATCCTATCCGTTTAAAACTGTAACTTTTCTTGCCTTTTAAGTTTAGAGTCCTTCTCTTCAGCTTTAAAAAAAAAAAAGTTTAGAGACCTTCTCCAACCAAAAAAAGAAAAGAAAAGTTGAGAGTCCTTCTCAGTTTTAAAGCGTTCAAGTAAGCCCGGGGTGAAACACATTAAATTTCGAATCTTTGGTATACTTGTTCCATTGGTTTGCGGTTCTAACAGTGAAGAGAGATGAGAATAACTGATTTAGATCACTCAAGCAGATTGTATCAGCAGATTCTGCATTTACTATTGAACATTGAGCAAGCAAGAAATCATCAGAAGAAGAATCTTCAGAACAAATGAAAACCACAAACCGAATTGCATACCTATAAGATACGAATGCTGGACTCTGAAGAAAACGACCGACAAAGGGAGAGGAGCGGACGACGAAGGAGGAAGGGCCGCGGAGGCAGTAGGTCAGCGGAGACTTAAACTCGTTGACTCCCCCTGAATGGTATTCTGCCGTCCCAACCACACCAGGATGTCAGGCTTATCGTGGAGGCAAGAGCGATGATTGAACGGGATTGGAGTGTACTGTGCAGAAATTCAGCAAATTCCGAGAGCCGCCAATAGGAGTGATGCAGGCCACAGATGCTCGAACGCAAGAGGGAAGGAAAACAGTGGGGGAAGCATTCTTTCGTATCGAGCAGAATTTTTGTAGAGGACTACCACTGAGATAAACGATACCATAGCAAAGTGATTTTCGTTGCCTTTTGGATTTAAGGAGAAGAATTGCTCAGCCAGTTTGAAAATGTCATATGATTGATCAAAAGCCAAATTGGGGAAATAGAAAATGTCAAAATGACTACTTCAGTCTACAAGGAGCTTCGTCCGAAACCTCATTTAATAATTTCATCACACCAAAAATCACAACTTTGCATATACAAGTTTCAAAATCAGACTACATAATTTATCAACACTTAGAGGAAGGACCGAATGAAGGCATAAGATGAAGAACAAGAATGAAGAACAGACACTTGCCTAAAAGAAGGCGGCAGCGGCGGCTGGAAGAGCAGGTGTCAACGGCGGCAACTGGAGGAGGAGATGTCGATGAGGACACGACTGAGGGCGGAGATGCGAAGCTAAAACGGCAAACCGAGGGGAACGCAAATTCGTTTGCCTATTTATCAGTTTTTGACATAGGATACGGTTTCTTTTTTTCTGGGCCAGTAACATGACACGGATACTTTTTTGGGAAAATCCCCAAAAAAACAAAAGAATTATTAAATTTAAAATTTTAAATAAAAAATATTTATTTTTTTAAATATAATTAGTTTTTATAAGCATACTAATTAATACTGATTTAAAATTTTAAAATCCAACAGTTATTTTTAAGAATTTTTTCTTTTTCTTTTCATATATATAGTTGATACCATCAATTTTTAAAAATGAAATAAGTGAGGGCGTAAATCGAATTTATTAGAAAATATATATAGTTGGCAGGAAAAAAACAAAAAATATATCAAATATAAAAGTTTAGGTAGGTATTAATTTTTGGGAAAATGACAATAAAATACCACTTGAATTCCAAAAGGACAAATAAGGGACCTGAATAAGCAAAATGACAAGGAAGTCACTGGGAACCAATCTGGAATTAATATTTTCGGCGAAAAGACCGAAATGCCCTTAAGATGTTTGAAACTTGAGGAGATGGAGAAAAGGCGGAAACCGACTCCTCGGCGAAAACAACACCCCACTCGACGAAAGAGGAACTGCTTCCACTCAGCGAAAGCAACCCCCCACTAAGTGAAACAGGAACTAGAACTACCTCGCCCAGTCGACGAAAGCAACCCGCCGACCCGACGAGAGCAACCCACTGAAACAGAAAGTGCCCCCACTCGACGAAACCAAATCGAAGGTCCTCTAGTAACGAAAAAGCGGTCGCCGAAATCACATTGCCGCTGTCGCTTTCGAAACTAAACAGGTAGGGAACTTGAATATTGTTGTTCATTCGATGGGTCCCCGAAACTTAAAATGTAATTATGCAGTGATGCTCTTTGTGGTTCCGTCTTTGTTGTTCCCATAGAAGCTGCTCTAGGACGAAAAAAGTTGTTTCCATGTTATTGCTGATGTGTTTGGTTGTGTACATATTTGGAAATGATTGTGATTGATAGTGTTTAAACCATTTTGGGTGGCCTTTAATTGGAACAGGGGATTGCTTTTGTTGTGGGGATTGGTTTATTTTGATTTGAAGGAAAAGAACAAAATGGAAAGGATAGTTTTGTCGGTGTTATTTGACTTTTCTAAAAAGAGTATAGCTTTCTATGTGGAGAGGGTGGGATTTTAAGGAAGTAGAATTCCACTAATTTGGTCTGCATGCGCGGCAATGACAAAGTTACTTTCATTTTCATTGAATGGTTTAAGGTGAAAAGTTTGTCCTTGCGTGGGTAAAATTTGCAAAGGTTATCCTGTTGTAGTAATTTAGCAAGCAGTAATTCTATTAGCCGAGTAGTAAATTTGATGAGGTAAGTAGTAAATAGTACTAGCGGGTTTGGTTTTGAAATAACAACTGTTGGTCTGAGAAGGACTAAATTTGTGTTGGCAATGATTACATTTGTTAAGTGATATGTTAATGAAATTTACAACATTAATTAGAGTAATTGACTACATTCGGCAATGGAAAATAATAGATTTGGCAAGGGAATGACAACATGCGTGTGATGCAAATTCAATTGAGTGGACAATGATATTGAGGTGATATATTACTGAAATTTACTACATCAGTCAATGAAAGTAACCAGATTTGTTACGGGAATAACAACATTGTCGTGATGCAAATTCATTTAACTGTGCAATGGTTTTGTAGGTCATGTTAATGAGATTTACTAGATTTATTAGTGGAATTTACTACATTAGTCAATGAAAGTGACCAGTTTTGCTAGGGGAATAACAACGTCGTGATGCGAATTCATTTGATTATGCAATGGTTTTGTAAGTCATGTTAAAGAGATTTACTACATTTATTAGTGTAATTTACTACATTAGTCAATGAAAGTGAGCAGATGCAAATTCAGTTGACTGTGCAACGGTTTTGTAGGTCACGTTAATGAGATTTACTACATTTATTAGTGGATTTTACTACATTAGTCAATGAAAGTGAGCAAATGCAAATTCGTTTGACTGTGCAATGGTTTTGTAGGTCACGTTAATGAGATTTACTAGATTTATTAGTGGAATTTACTACATCAGTCAATGAAAGTGACTAGATGCAAATTCATTTGACTGTGCAATGGTTTTGCAAGTCAGGTTAATGAGATTTACTAGATTTATTAGTGGAATTTACTACATCAGTCAATGAAAGTGACTAGATGCAAATTCATTTGACTGTGCAATGGTTTTGCAAGTCAGGTTAATGAGATTTACTACACTTATTAGTGGAATTTACTACATTAGTCAATGAAAGTGAGCAGATGCAAATTTGTTTGACTGTGCAATGGTTTTGTAGGTCAGGTTAATGAGATTTACTACATTTATTAGTGGAATTTACTACATGAGTCAATGAAAGTGAGCAGATGCAAATTCGTTTGACTGTGCAATGGTTTTGTAGGTCACGTTAATGAGATTTACTACATTTATTAGTGGAATTTACTACATTAGTCAATGAAAGTGACCTGATTTGTTATGGGAATGACAACATCGCCATGATGCAAATTCATTTGACTCTGCAATAGTTTTGTAGGTGATATGTTAATGATATTTACAACATTTATTAGTGGAATTTACTACATTTGTCAATGAAAGTGACCAGATTTGTTACAGGAATAACAACATCGTCGTGATGCAAATTCATTTGACTGTGCAATGGTTTTGTAGGTGATATGTTAATGATATTTACTACATTTGTTAGTGGACTTGACTACACTTGTTAATTGAGTGGACAATGGTATTTTGATGATATGTTAATAAAATTTGCTATATTTGTTAGTGTAATTGACCACATTTGTTGATGGAATTGACGACATTGTTGTGAAAGAAATATAGTACTATGAATGACTAACAAGTGGTGTCATTGCAGCAGGGAAAATGGAGTTACAAGTACAAGTAGAAGGACAAGGAGAGGGAAGTGGACAAGTGAAGAGTGGGTACATGCTGTTTCTGCATGAATTTAAGGCGGGCAAAGCGTTTAGGAATAGGAGAGAAGAAGTTAGGGAGGGAGCAAAGGCATGGAGGGAGCTGCCACCAAAGGAGAGGAAGAAGTATAATGATAAAGTGAACAAACCAAAGAAGCAAGGGACGAAGAAGAAGCGGATGAAAAAAGTTGCTTTTAGCACTCGTTGCTCAGTCCGGCAATACAAGTCATTGGTGGAATTTATAAATAGCAATGACAGATTGAAAGCCAAGGTACAAAGTTTGGGATTTGCAAGTTTGCTTGACATGGGATGTGAGAGACTCCCTCGTGACCTCATAGTACGCATTCTTTGAGCATATGATCCGCCTACTCATCAATTTACAATAAGGGGGAAGATCAAGGAAATTGATGCACAAGATGTTGCGGAGTTGTTGGAGGTACCCCACACAGGGGAAAAGGTAAGAACGGATGTGGATGATGATGATGAAACATACAAGAGGTTGAAGAATGAATATGGTAAAGTCTCTTTTACCAAGATACTCAAAGACATTAAATCTGGGGAGAATGAGGAGAATTTCGAGTTCTTGTTCATGCTGTACACACTTGGGAGTTTTCTAGCTCCTACCTCACAAACAACAGTGAGTGACAAGCTAGTGAGGGTGATGTGTTGTACTATGCATGAATTTCACCAATTTGATTGGGCCACATACATTGTGAACAACTTGTGAAAAGAGATGGAAGATTATGTTGAAGTGTATAGAAACGTAGGGGAAGACAATGATGAAGGGAGTTGCAACGTCGGAGGATGCATCTACCTCTTATTGGTATGTATTTACTACCATTGTTTTTTGTTCTATGTTTGAATGGAGTGATGATAAAATTAATAATTTGATGTTGCAGTTATATCTTGCTGAGCGCTTCCCATTATCTAAATCTGTTAGAGATGGGTCAATAAGTGCTATTCAATTCTGGACTGATGAGAGGATAAAGGAGATGACAAAGAAGGAAAGGCGGAGCAACAGAGGCCTATTGTATAAGCAGAAGGGCTCGAAAGTTAGGGTTGGAGATGAGGAGAGAAGAAGGAGAAGTGTCGCTGACTTACACCCGGTGTGTTTATTTGCTTCGTAATTTCAATGTGCATTAAAAAGATAAAGTGTTTGACCTTTTTTTAATGATGTGATGCAGGAGTTGCAAAGCTTACATCAAAAGTTGATGGCTGTAATTGATTTAAGCTACAAGAGACTTGTTAGTGCAAGACTTTACTGGCTGATATGAAGAGCGAAGGAGAAGTCAAGCGACACATATTTGATGCTGACTTTATGGTAAGGTTACTAAGATTAATACAAAATAGTTACTGCTACATGACTAATCATTTGATGCTGCAGGCAATACTAGCTGCGAACCCATCTCGGTGGGATGCTAGAAAACGAGAAAAGCAGTTGCTGCCTGAATATGTCGGTTACAACATAGGAGACTGTGACTTGATATTTGGACCTACACTTGTTGGTGCTCACTGGTTTTGTCTTGTGCTTGAGCCTAAGACAATGAATTTCTATGTGCTGGACTCAATGAAGCCAAGTTTTCCTACTAAGAAGAGTAAGAAGAAAGGTGCAGCTGATGATGATATGATGACTGTGGTGACCGGATGTGTAAGACTATTGTTACTGTTCTTGTGTAGCATGCTCTTTGTTTACCAAATTATTTACAAATGCAAGTATGTGTTGTGCAGAGGGATCGATTTTATGACATGATTGAGATAGTAAAGCCCAATACCATTGGAAAGAAGCAGATGAGTGACATTATTTGGGCCCCTGTTCCTCAACAGAACAATCTGTGAGTGGTATTAGTTGTTGATGTAATAATGTATGAATGCTACTTCGTGTTTCACTCATGGACATTGTTGCCATGTGCAGGCGAGACTGTGGCGTTCATGTTTTAATATGGTTGAGCAAATGGGAGCCCGGTGTGACGCTTGACTACGGTGAAGAACATGTTGCTGATTTCCGACGAAACCTAATGTGGTGGCTTGTTAATCATGAGCTCAATTCAAGACGTGAAGAAGCATTGAACTTGCTGTCATCCCCAGAGCCCACACCAAGGAAAAAGCAGCGTGCATCACGGCAGTAAATGACGCTGTCTAAGTTTAGTGATGTGTTAGTTAATGTCATGTATGTAAGGGAATTTGCAAACTGTTTTCAGGGATTGTAAAGGCAACTCATTTTCAAGTAATGTTAAACCATTTTCCCAAATTGTTACAACACATGTGACGAGATTTACAACTGTAGAAGCGAATTTTACCACTTCTTGAAGGGGTTTGACAACCTGTTTTGAGCGGCAGGGCAACTCAAGAAAAACACAAATACCACACTGAGTTTGACAAAACACATAGTGGGAATAACAACTTTTACAGTGAGTGTTACTACTTGTTCAGTGGGTTTTCCAACCGTATGTTTATTGGGCTGTGCTACTTCGTCCTAAAACGGTAAAAGTCGGAGGTGAATTTTGCAAAACACACGGAGGGATTTACAACTCTCCAACTGAGATTTACTACTTTTACAGTGGGTTTTGCATCCCTAAAAAAATTGGCCTGCGCAACTTTGGTCTCAAAACGGTAAAGGTCGGAGGTGAAATTTGCAAAACACACGGAGGGATTTACAACTCTCCAACTGAGATTTACTACTTTTACAGTGGGTTTTGCATCCCAAAAAAATTGGCCTGCGCAACTTTGGTCTCAAAACGGTAAAGGTCGGAGGTGAATTTTGCAAAACACACGGAGGGATTTACAACTCTCCAACTGAGATTTACTACTTTTACAGTGGGTTTTGCATCCCAAAAAAATTGCCCTGCGCAACTTTGGTCTCAAAACGGTAAAGGTCGGAGGTGAATTTTGCAAACACATAGAGGGATTTACAACTCTTTCAGTGGTATTTACTACTTTTATACTGGGTTTTGCACCCTCTTGCCGGGCTGGGCAGATTTTCTGCCATGAACAATACAATGCAACAATATGACAGCAGATACATTACATATATTCAAATCACTACACCTCAAGTACATCACGATAAACATGAACCGTTTACTTTCACACTAGCTACACTAACTACACGTGTAATGGGATTTACCATTCACGCAACAGTATTTACCAAAAACCAGCAGCAATATGACAGCAGATGCATTGCATATATTCAAATGACTGCACCTCAAGTACAGCACGGTAAACATTGAACCATAACTTTCATACTAACTACACTACACGTGCAATGGGATTTACCATTCACGCAACACTATTTATCAAAAAACAATAGCAATATGACAGCTGATACAGTATTTATGACATGATTGAACCATTAACTTTCATACTAACTACACGTGCAATGGGATTTACCATTCACGCAACAGTATTTACCAAAAACCAGCAGCAATATAACAGCAGATGCATTACATATATTCAAATGTCTGCACCTCAAGTACAGCACGGTAAACATTGAACCATAACTTTCATACTAACTACACTACACATGCAATGGGATTTACCATTCACGCAACACTATTTACACCAAAAAATCACCATATCTATTGACATCTAAGTTCAACTTGGGTTTGGATTCTTGCACGTTCTTCTTGTGTGCCCAACTTGTTTGCATGTGCTACAATGGTAGATCTTCCTATTCTGGAACTGTGACTCTCGTCTTTTTACTTTAGGCCTTCCTGGCGGTCGATTAGTCAAAGGCGGTGCCAAGAACACTTGACTTCCTATATTTTCCACCCAGTAATTGTTAGGATTTGGCATGTCTACTGTCGCCACTGGAATCATACTCCTGCCATAAATCTTTTGCTGTGATGTAATCTTGTAGCATTCATCAACAAAATCATAGACATTGCAATTCACAGCCTTAATCGCTGCACAGGCATGGGGACATGGAATGCCTGACATTTGCCAAGCTGCACAGGTGCATTCGCCTAGACCAAGATCAACATGTACAGCTCCTTTTGCTGTATGGACACACACCCTACCTCCTCCATAAGGTACACTCAGCATGCATGCTGATCTAGCAACATTGTCCACCAATTTTGCATCTATGTTTGGGCCTACACCATTTTTCCAATTACTCATTGCTATGCTTGCTGCATACATCTTCTTTGCCACTTTCTCACGATGCTCATGTATAAGTTGGGCAACATTATATCGTCTCTCTTTCAACATCCAAGCATTGAATGACTCAGCAAGGTTTGTTGTGATGTTATCCCACCGTTTAAATGGGAATTTACTTAAGGCCCACCTTTCAACATCACCATGATTAAGAAGCCACTCAAATAATTGTGGATTGAACTTTCTCATGTTATCCATTGCACCATCAAACTCGGTGTCAAGCCTTGCATATGCAATGGCATCCAGGTATTGCAGTCCCTCCTCCCTTGCTTTCCCACTAGTCTTCCTCTTTCCTCTATTTAATTTAATCATTTGTGCACTGAAGTTTTCCTTAACATGTCTGTAACAGTATGCATGCCTCTCACCACCAAATATTGCTTGCACGGCGCCTATTATTGCATTGTGTCGATCTGACACAATTGTCAATTCCATCGAGCCAACTATCTCCTTAATCATATATAAGAACCATGTCCAATCCTCAAGTGTCTCTCCCTTTACAATAGCAATCGCAAAAGGTAACAATTCGTTGTCAGCATCATAAGCAGACGCCAACAGTAACGTCCCCTTATACGGTCCACTTAAATGACATCCATCAATGTACAGTACATGTCTAGCACCAGCTATAAAGCCTTCTATACAACACCCATATGCTATGAATGCACGCTCAAATGTGTTATTAGTATTAGCCACCCATTTGGCCACGGTTTTGTTATCTGTTTCCTTCAACCGTTCACATATCCACGGAATAAGCATATAAGACTGGTCAGGCCTGCCATGTATGTCCTCTAAAGCTTTTTGCTTCGCCTGTATGCTTGTTTATATGTCAACTTCATACCATAATCTCTTTCTAAAGTCTTCCTTATATCATTTGGACGCCTGTCTATGTGATCATTTACCTCATCTCTGATGATTGATGCTGTCAAGCTAGCTGAACCACAATGTTCCACACAAAGATTGTCTTGTGCATTATGGACATGCTCATTTATGAATGTTGCCACACGTAAAAAGGGAGTACTCTTTCTGCCCACTCTTGCACTTATCCTCCACGGACAACCTTCAACACTACATTTCACATACATTTTTCCCCTACAATTTTTCACATACTTGTACTCAAACTTGTTTGCAATACTGAACTTATGTACTTTCTTCTTGAAATCTTCTGCATTTGCAAAAGTTTGGTTCCGTCCTAACAACAATTCCTTCCATTTCAAAGAATTCATCTCCGGCAAAGGTGTAGGTGCACTCACTACTCCGTATGGTAGGCTTACATTAGGTCTTTCACTGCCTCCAGAACTTGTACTTTCCAAAGCATTTCCCTCCAACGTAGGCTCATCACTCTGTTCTGACAGTCCTTCCATTCTTGAGATCCTGCATTTATAATTACCACTGTTGTTAAGAGATTTACTACAACATTACAACAATTATCAACTTTCATAACCACCAAAAAAAAATTTCTCACTTACATTTCTGGATAACCCATTCCTTCCTCCACATTGTCATTACCTTTATGTGCTATATAAATATGTGCATTACGGTCATTATATTCAAATAGATTATCAACTCACCATCATCTATAAGATCTACCAATACCCTCTCATCAAAACTCAAAGTGTATTTAATATCACAGCCATGACAATCCATGCTGCACCATTCGCCTATCATTGCCCTCAAATCTTCAAGTTTTGTACCCTCATTTATTACTCTTACTCTGACAGTCCCACCACAGTATTTAACTTCGCCATTGTCCTTTTCCACAAACTTCCCATCTACGTGAAAATAACAAGCAAGTCTTTTTGAAGATGTTGATACAATGTTACAAGACATCACCACTTGCTAACCTGCAGCAAACAACATTAAATATAAAAAAATTAACTTCTCCGCCAATTAGTTTCCATCAACGTACGTGACACCCAAAACACACACAAAGAGAGAAACTTTTCTTCTATTCGCAACTTTATTATAGGGTTTCACAACTCCATTATTGATTTTAACAACGTTCACCACTTGAACGCAAACTTCACGCCTACGTAATTGCTTGCCACCTTTCTTGATTTCCGCTACGTCATTCGAAATAGTCAATATAAAGTATAAAACCTCATCTCCAGCACACCTGTCCCCACCATTGCGCCATAAAGCAGACACAAAAAGGAACTACTCAAACCCCACCATCAGTTAATGCGACATGTTTACTCTCTCTCTTGCTACAAAACCTCTTGCCCACAACCAAAATCTATTAAATCAGCAATCCCAAAAAAATTATGATGCGGAGGAGTAAGATTATACCATTTCCAAAGACTACCGACTTAAACTCACCTCTTTTCAGCTCTGATGTGTTCTTCCAGCGTTTCTCTTTCCTTCTTCATGTGCTCAACCGGTGCTCTGCTCTATCTTTATTTTCATTTCAGTTTCACTTCATTTTACCTCACTGATAAGGGCATTTCGGTTTTTTCGCTGAAAATATGAATTCCAAATTGGTACCCAGTGCCCTATTTGTCATTTTGCTTATTCAGATCCCTTATTTGTCCTTTTGGAATTCAAGTGGTATTTTATTGTCATTTTCCCTTAATTTTTTCTCTATCTCAGTTCGGTAATATAAAAACAAGTTAATTAATTTAAATAGATTAAAAAAATTAGTTATATTAATTATTTATAATAAATATGTATTATTTTTTAAAAACATTTTTATTAATATAATATATCGACTAAAATTATTATTTTTATAAAAAGATTTTAATAAAATAAATATAAAAAAAAAGACTGATATTTTATATTTAAAATTAAAATAAAAATTAAATAAATTTTTATATTAAGAATCAGAATAATAATATTAAAATATGATTTTTAATTGAATAATAAGTAGAAAACAGGCTGAATGAAAATTAAAAAAATATGCATTCAAAAAAAAAAAAAAATCAATGGATCTCAGAAAGAAATAGGAAAAAAAAAATCTACAAATTTGAATTTCCGGATCCCTGTAAAGATCATCGACTCTGGGAAGGCCTCGTTTCGTCGACACAGGCGGGAACTGAATCAAGTTCATGGCGGCAGTAGCTGAAGAAGAGACAGTGAAGAAGGAGGAGGAATCGTTTGTTACGGTAAATCAAGAGGAGGATGAGTATGATTCCAAGGACAGGGTGCTGCAGAAGTACTTCCTTCAAGAATGGAACCTAGTCAAGTCCATTCTCGACGACATTGTTTCAAATGGCCGAGTCTCTGACCCTTCTTCAGTTCACAAAATCCGATCCATTGTACTCCTACTCTCCTTCTCTCCTTGTGCTTTTTGTTATGTTTTAATTTTGTTCAGTGGTTTTGTCTTTATTAATTAAATGTGAAGAGGGAAACATTAAACCTGTTTGTGATGACTATGGGCCTTTGGGTCTGGGGTTTCTGGCCTATGCACTTTTCTGTTTGTGAAATGCATGCTTCATTTTTTGAGAAAGTCTTTCTCTCTATATGCAGTTGGATAAGTATCAGGAGCAGGGTCAGCTTCTAGAACCTTACCTGGAAAGCATTGTTTCCCCATTGATGTACATTGTTCGTTCTAGAACAATTGAACTTGGTGTAGATTCAGATGAAATTCTTGAAATAACCAAGCCAATATGCATCATTATCTATTCATTAGTTACAGTTTGTGGATACAAGAGTGTGATCAAGTTTTTCCCTCATCAAGTTTCTGATCTAGAACTCGCCGTAGCTCTGTTGGAGAAGTGTCATCACACGAGTTCAGCAACATCATTGAGGCAGGAAAGCACAGGAGAGATGGAAGCTAAATGTGTGATGCTGTTGTGGCTTTATATACTTGTATTAGTTCCTTTTGACATCTCCACTGTGGACACCAGTATTGCCAACAATACCAAGCTCAACGATCTTGAGCTCGCCCCTCTTGTGTTGAGAATTTTAGGGTTTTGTAAGGATTACCTCTCAACTGCGGGGCCTATGCGCACTATGGCTGGACTAGTGCTCTCTAGGCTTCTAACACGTCCAGATATGACCAAGGCTTTTACCAGGTATGTAGAACTTTGTTTCTTTACTAATAATGATATAGAGTGTCCTTCATATGCAATAGCCTGGAATTTCAATGCACCGACCATCTTGGCATGTACGTTGGTGTTCCACTGCTTCACAACAGAGTTACCAAGGATACTTATAAATGCGTATAGGAAAAGATACAGAACAGGCTCTCGGGTTGGAAAGCAAAGGCCCTTTCCCTTGCTGGTTGAATAATGATATAGAGTGAAGAATCATTTCAGTTTCTTTTCTTTTTTTTTGTTTTTTGTTTAATAAAAAAAAGAATCATTTCGGTTTCTGCATAAACTAGTTTTTCTGATGTCTTCAGGTTTGTTGAGTGGACACATGAAGTGTTGTCTTCTGTCACGGAGGATGTCTTTCATCACTTCCAATTACTTGGTGCTGTTGAATCACTGGCCACCATTTTTAAGGTTCTGTTTTCGTTATTTTCATCTACACTCTCAGATGCAAATATTTTCCTTGTTTTGGTTATAAATATTCACGCAAATGGATTCTCTTTCTTTTAGGTCCGGATGTGGGGAAAAGTTTCATGATATGCATCTAACCAATAGAAAGATTGGCTATCTAGGATATTTAGTTTTGCTTTTATGAAAGTGGTCATTTGGAAAATTGCTCTGTTAACATCATCTCTTCTACCTCTTGCGGCATCTATTTGTATGCAGGCTGGTAGTCGTAAACTCTTGCTTGATGTAATTCCTGTTGTTTGGAATGACACTTCGACACTATACAAGTCCTCAACTGCAGCACGAAGTCCTTTGCTTCGCAAGTATCTGATGAAGCTAACTCAGCGAATTGGGCTTACTGCCCTTCCTCATCGTTTGCCTTCATGGCGTTATGTGGTCAGTCTTTTTCTTTTACAATCTTTGATGTGATCTCACATCTTATCAGCTATACGTAGTTCTGTAACTGGCAAAAATGGATGTTTAGACTAGGGGATTTTGATAAGAAACTTTGGGAGAGCTTGCCCAAAAAGATAGCTCATGATGTTGGAGAGCACAAAGTCTCTGTAACACCAAGTCAAAATGGCAATGCTTCTGATGTGGAACTCAAATTCTACACTTTGCTATGGATTCAACGAATTCATTATTTGGAGCCAGACTTTATGAGGTTGATACTTAGATCTTAGATTTGTCCCATTAAAAAATGAAGCAGCTACTAGGAATGAATTGCTTTTTTGTCATGTTAAAAATAATAAAAATACAGAAACAGACCCAATTAACTGTTTATTATTGTTGTTGTTGTTATTGTTATTATTTATTTTTGGATAAGAAGGCAAGTGCTAAGCTTGAAGGAAAGAACAAAAGGTTACAACAAATCCAAACTAAAAAACTAAGCACTAATAAGTTAAATCATTCAGCAGAAGGCTCCTGCAATACTCAGGAGGGCGGACCAGATGAGTCCAGTTGCATTTGACTTATGCTTTCTTTGCAAGGATGTCAGCACTGTTGTTTATTATTTAAATATTTAAATTATTAGAATGAAGTTGTATGATCCTCCCACAAAAGGCAATGGTCTCGTTGATATGTACTCCAGAGTTCATTCTTATACCTGTTCCAATGGTTTGAACTTCTCTGATGATTTTTTTCCCCTCTTACAAATATAATTTTTGGTATTTTAATATTATTTATTTTTTTTTTTTTTTTAAAAAAAAAAGTTCTAGTCCATTTCATTCTTTTGCTGAAGACTTTTCTAGGAGCTAATTGATTGGCACCATTTTCTAGTTTTAACTGTATGCCTATCATGCAGGGAAGAAGCACCTCTATAAATGTTGCTTTGAATAAAACCGGTCAAATTGATCAGGGCAATTATGTTGTGAATGATGGCTCCTCTAACATAACCCAAGCTATAGATGTGGCACAAGATGAAGAAGACATGGATGTTCCAGAAATTGTTGAGGAGATCATTGAGATGTTGCTATCTGGTTTGAGGGATATGGTATGTCCAAAGGGTGAGATTCTTATTGATAATTTTGTTTTTCTCTTTCATGCTAAAATTTGCTAAGATGGGGAGAAGTCTGGTGTTGTCTAGAAGTAAGCCAATGGTGATTTCTTTGAAAGTAAGCCTTTTGGAAAATATTTTGTATAAACCATGTATCTTATTGGAAGTTGGATTAACTATATTAATGTTATTTTTCGTATAAGCCATTCATGAACATGGTTGATGTATTTAAAAAAAAAAGAAGAAGAAGAAAACGCATGCATCTTTGCAGATTATGTGCCATTGATCTGCAAACAGTATGGTCCTTTTGAGCTTGATGTGGATAAGGCACAAGCCCAGCATAGCTGTTGCTAAAATTTCATCTACTTAGGACATTGAGGGCTGCATGTGGATAAGGCACATGCCTGGCATAGCTGTTGCGAAAATTTCATCTACTAAGGACATTGAGGGCGCAAGTTCTAACTCCTTCTGATATTATGTCAACAAATCAATAATCTTGAAAGGATTAAGATGTTAGAGGTATGATGGGAGTGTAATTTACTTATTGAAGCCTATGCTCAAGTTATCAAAATAATTCTTGGTCCCTTGCTTAGCAAACCTCATCTCTTAGGGTTAACACTACAAATCATGCTAGCGTTCAATTGACATGATGTTGTGGTTTGATCCTTATTTCTTTTCTTATAATTCTTATATTTTAGTTAAAGAAGTTTTTAGTTGAAGATAATGTATTTAATAATGCACTTTATCAATTTACCTGTAAGCTTACCCATGATGTTGTATGATGGGCACCCAGGTATGGTAGGGAACCTTTTCCCATATGTTAGATACTGGGATGAGAGCACTAGGTCATTTAAGCACCCCATGTAGCATTCCCACGCTACTTAATGGTCAATGACTTAGTCATCTTAGATTTATATCAATTGGCCCACCTTGGGAGAGACAAGATCCCAATGGCTAAGCTTTGTGACACTTTGCTTGGCGACACATACTTGACTCTATCACCAGTTCGAACCCTCCTTCGGCAGTCCCTTCTTGAGTTGTTGACACTAGCTTTGATTACAGTTGATGGGCATCCAAGTGAGGTGGGGGATTCTCTTTCAAAAGCTAGCTATTGAGGCAGGAAAAGTGCCCTACTTAAAATATGTGATAGAGTATTTTATACTACTCTTATGTGAAACTTAGACATCGTTTACTATCTTAGTCTTCATTATAGTGCTTTAAAGCAATAACTAATGATCTCTTGCTTGACAGCTTATGCATTTACGTCAATGGATCTAATTATGCAAATAATTTAGTTAGACAAGAGAACAGAAAATCCTGCATGATGAACTTATTGTAGTGACTGGCAGTTTTACTTAATTTTATCTATCATTGACTTCTTTTCCTCCCTTGTTGTTTGTTTATTTGAAGTTGGTGTGTATGAGGTGTGTACTGATCTAAACACAAAACATTACTGGTGGCATACTGCTGTTTAGAAATAGCTTCTCTTTATCTGGTATCTTCTGGTGACTTTCAAAAGACAACCATAAGCTTCACATGGATTTGCATCTAATAGCAACTTAAGCTTTTTATATTTTCACTGTGTTTTAGTGTCTGATTAATTTTTTTTTTTTATCACTTGTTACTGCTGGATTTCAGGATACTGTTGTCCGTTGGTCTGCAGCAAAAGGCATAGGTCGCATAACTTCACGGTTGACATCTTCTCTTGCTGAGGAGGTTTTATCATCTGTTTCTGAGTTGTTTTCACCTGGTGAGGTATGCATTGACGGTTGACCCTCCTTTGCTGACCGTTCCTATGCTAGTCATGGTAGTTAAATGGTTCCCATTTACATTTATCTCTGTATGGATGTACTCTATATGAATCCAACATCACTATGAACGCTTGGCTGAATGTCACTATCAAATTTGACGAGGCACTGCTTCTTCTGCTGCTGCTCACAAGTAAATTTTTTCCCCAGGGTGATGGTTCATGGCATGGAGGTTGTCTAGCTTTGGCTGAACTTGCTCGTAGAGGCCTCCTCTTGCCTGCTTGTCTTTCCAAAGTTGTTCCTTTCATTGTGAAGGTGGTATTCCTGTTTGCTACGAGGATATGCTTAAGTGCAGAGATATTTGATTTGTTATTTTAAATTGCATTAGCTGCTTATAATTTTTTTATTTGTCAAAACACATGATCATGTTTTACCCAGAGGTCCAAGATTTAGAAGCTTGAATAGATGGCAACTTGCCAGTAAATAACTAGTGCATATGGTGCCTAAAGGGGGGAAAAAATGGTGCATATTATCATGGGAGAGGAAGATATGATGAAAATGAAAATAGATTGGACATGGTCCTAGATTGTTGATGTCGTTGCCAGTATTTATATTGATACTAAACCTGATATTGAAGATTTTGTGCTCATAACTTGAGTAATCTGATGAACAATGGGAGGGGTTACTCATGTCTGTGGCTCTTTGTTGGAAGCTAGTGGTTTTTGTGGCGTGGAAAACAGAAAAAATGTGAATGGAACTAAACTTTGGTGTTCCTGGAGGTAAATCTAATCAATCAGAATCCATGACCTGGAATTTCTCTTCTTTTTTTTTTTTTTTTAATTGTTGTTATCCTGAATAATTCTTAATATATTTCTGGGTTTATTAGCCTTTAGTTCTGTTATCTTATTTTTCAAATTTAAGCCTTATATCCTGTTTTCTGCTCTTGATCTTTCTTGATTTTATTCTGCTTTTATTTCCTTTTATCCTGTTGCTGTTTTCACAGGATCTTGTGGTTAGTTTGTAGATTTTGTTCATGTATATGTGCTCCCCCCCCCCCCCCAATGTGATAAGAAGTATTTAGAGCCTATTTATCTGAAATTCTATATTTACTTTTTTAAAGGGAAATTGGGGTTAGGATTCATGGTGGGTGATACGTGTGCTTTAATACCATTTGTCTCAACATAGGAGCTCTAATCCTTTTTATGACTTTCATATGATTTTACGTTGCGTCAGTACTGGTTGTTGTGAGGATTTACTATCTTCCTATTTGGTGTGATTTCCTCTCTTTACAAAACCTCTTTTTCTTTATCATTAACTAAAAAGAATGTCTTCGAATGGGATCTTTTAGTAAAAATTTATTTAATGAGTTGGTTGTTGATAGCCTTCTTATTGTTTGTGTTGTATCATTAACCAAAAAGAAGGTCTAATAAATCATTTTTGAGAGAGGACATTGATTTCTATTAATATTATTGACATTGCTAAATGCAAACTGAAGTTGAGTGCTTCTTTCAGATATACCTGCTATGAACTGATGGAAATAATGCGCAAAATTACTGTACAGGCCCTACATTATGATGTTCGTAGGGGTCCACATAGTGTTGGATCTCATGTACGTGATGCTGCTGCGTATGTGTGTTGGGCATTTGGACGGGCATATTATCATGAGGAAATGAAAAATATCTTAGAACAACTTGCCCCCCACCTCCTAACAGTGGCATGCTATGACCGTGAGGTGCCCTTTCCATCAAATGAGTTATTTTTAAATGCTAAAGCATGAATTGTCATCTGAGTAGATTTGCTAATGATGCTTAGGTTAACTGCAGAAGAGCAGCAGCAGCTGCTTTTCAGGAGAATGTTGGAAGACAAGGGAATTATCCGCATGGCATTGACATAGTTAATACTGCAGATTATTTTTCACTTGCTTCCCGAGTAAACTCTTATCTTGATGTTGCTGTCTTCATTGCTAAGTTCGAAGGATATCTTTTCCCATTCGTGGATGACCTACTTGATAGAAAAATCTGTCACTGGGTATGCTCAAATTTAATCTCTCCTTCTCTCTCTCTAGTTTTTTCTTAGCTATATCTTTATTAAGTGTTGATGGAGTGTTTAGTTTCTTTTTCTACAAAATGAAACTTTCATCTGCCAAACATTGTGCTCACTTTTTAAACATAGCCTCTGCATTATTGTTTGCTTGCTAAGAAAAGCTATAAATCAATCTAGCCTGATCCTTTTGCTGAGCTGCACTTTGTGGTGCAAAGGAATCAGTGACATCTCAAAGTTGAGACGGGATAAGCCCAAGAAACCAACCGCAAAAATGATGTTGTACGGATATCTCAGCATTATTGAAGGAATACTCAGGCTTCTATATAACTTCAGTTTTATCAGGATTTGCTGAAGACATGAAATATTCTAATTTCCTTAATTTGTTTTTTTTTATTTCTCCTTTTCCTAAGTATGTGAACTGGCTCCCCCTCCCCCTCCTCGTTGGTTTTGTCATATGAAAATCTTTGGTTGTTTGTGCATGTGATGTCCAAAATTGGTTTTTGTCTAATAATGATATTGCGAATATTTATATGCATGTTTGTTGCTAATATGATTTTATTCAGGTCTGGAGTCATGTGACCAGTGTTATTTCTACCTCCTATTAGTACTTCTTCTCCTCTAAAGTGGTTTCTTTTACTTCTAGCAGCTGAAAATGAATAATATCTTGATATGCAATTTTACTAGTTTATTGTTTGTTTTTGCTAGTCTGAATTGTAAGTTTAAACAGTATATCCTAAGGACTAAATTAAGGTCGCATTGTTGTCCTTCTTACTGTTTCCACAGCACCAGGAACTTTGTTATTGGTGTCTCTGTTTGCTCAATTTTCTTGAGTGGTACTTTTTACTAATACTTTTTGGAATTATATATTCAGGATAAAGGATTGCGAGAACTTGCCGCGGAGGCCCTTTCCTCTCTCGTAAAATATGATCCTGAGTATTTCGCAAATGTGGTCATGGAAAAGTTAATTCCTTGCACTCTTTCATCTGATCTGTGCATGCGCCATGGTGCAACATTAGCAACCGGTGAAGTTGTTTTAGCACTACATAAATGCAATTACACTCTTTCCTCAGGTCACACATTCTTCTTTAAACTTATGCTCCAACTATTCTTAATAGATGCAAATCATATTTCTTTTAAATAAGCAAAATAGAAATCTTACATATAGATGTGATTACAAAATCTTAATCTATAAATTTCAGTTAATGATGACTCCTTAATGGATGATCTCATGATTAATCTCTTACTCTTTCTATTGAGGAATCCTTATAACATTCATATGTTCTTTGCATTTTCATACTTCCATTATCAGTTATCCTAGAATTTTCATCTTCTGTTAGGTAACTAATTTCAAAACATGTTGACAGACCTCAACGCTTTGAACTCTTCATGACAGATAAGCAGAAAACCCTTGCTGGTGTAGTTCCATCGATTGAGAAAGCACGACTTTATCGAGGAAAAGGAGGGGAGATAATGCGGGCAGCTGTTTCTCGGTTCATTGAATGCATCTCTGTATTTAACATAACATTAACAGAAAAGATAAAAAAAAGCTTGCTTGACACCCTGAATGAGAACTTGAGACATCCTAACTCTCAGATACAGGTTTCATTCTTTTAAAACAAGAGTTATATATATCTGTTTATTTCTTTCTTTATTTCATTGGGATATTCCATTTAAGGCCCTGAATCAAAATTGTGTTTTGATGAACAGAATGCTGCTGTTAAGGCCCTGAAATACTTTGTCCAAGCATATCTGCTTGTTGATGATAAAGTCATGGGTGATGTTATATCAAAGTACCTCAATATGTTGAATGATCCAAATGTTGCTGCAAGAAGAGGATCTGCTCTGGCAATAGGTGTTTTGCCATTCAAATTTTTAGCCAGTAGGTGGAGAAATGTGCTTTTGAAGCTCTGTAGCTGCTGTACGATTGAGGTGCATTTTCACTGCTACTGATTTTACATATTATGTTGTTATGTTAGTTAGATGGCTGTTAAAATGATTTTGTTTTAATGCAGGAAAAACCTGAAGATAGGGATGCTGAAGCACGTGTAAATGCTGTTAAAGGGCTTGTAGCTGTATGTGAAACATTAATTAAGGGAAGAACAGATTCTGTTACCTCTCTCATGGAGGAGGGGGACTTCTCTCTGTTTCTTTTGATAAAGAATGAAGTGATGATGACTTTGTTTAAAGCTCTAGATGACTATTCTGTTGACAACAGAGGTGATGTGGGCTCTTGGGTTCGTGAGGCTGCATTAGATGGACTTGAGAAATGTACATACATGCTCTGTAAGAGAGACTTGGCTTGTTTGAGCGAAGACCAGGAAAAAATTCTACTGAATCTGTAAAGCAGCAGTTAACTAATGACATTGTCAAGAACAATCAATATTTTCCATTGTTTGATGAAAACCTTGCTACCTGTTTGATTGGAGGAATTGTTAAGCAAGCTGTGGAGAAGATGGATAAGCTAAGAGAAGCAGCTGCAAATGTTCTTTACAGAATTTTGTACAACCAGATGGTTTATATTCCTCATATTCCTTTTAGGGATAAGCTTGAAGAAATTGTTCCTAAAGAAGCAGATGCGAAATGGATGGTTAGTGATGAGATTGTTTTATCAATTCATGAGACGGGTAGAATAGCTTTTTTCTTCATTGAAAGATGAATTGTTTCCTTGCAGGTCCCCACCTACTCATATCCGCGCTTTGTACAGTTGCTTCAAGTTGGTTGTTATAGTAGACATTTGCTATCAGGTTTAGTTATATCAATAGGTGGGTTACAAGATTCTTTGAAGAGGGTGTCACTCTCCGCACTGTTAGATTATCTACAAGGGTCAATAACCAGGGAGTGCATGTTTTCTGGTGACATTCTGTGGATTCTTCAACAATACAAGAAACATGACAGGGTTATAATACCCACTCTGAAGGTAATTAGCTTTCGTCAAGCTTTTATTTTCATGTAGCTTTCAGTTACACTGATTCATGAATGAGAAATTGGCTGGTTGTTCAGGCATTTGGTTCCAAAAATTATGATAGTAGGTACTCTGCTGTTTGGTTCTGTGTAACAAGTTTTCCAATAGAAAAATCTTGAAAATGTGTTGCTCGAGGAGAGTAAGGGTCTGGAAGTCCTTTCAGTGTTTTAAAGTTCTATTAATTGTTGAAGTTTGAATTTCGGATGGCCTGATCAATGTTTGTCATTTGTTGTCTGTTGCTTGAGCCCATTATAGTTGGATTTTGCTCTTATGCAAGCAGTTGTTAGTTTATGTAAATTTGTTGACTGGTTGAGGTCATACTACAAATTGTGGTTTATTGAACAACTTAGTGATTGTTCAACGGTCTTTCTGCAAATTGTGGTTCTTTGAATTCTTTTAAAAGTTCATTGCAAGTCCCTTATGAGTTCATAAAACTGTTGAATTTAGAAGTTGTACGTGAAATTTATTCGGCTGCAAGGCAATGCCAATTAAAATTCTTCTGGTGATTGACTTTTAGCTGGTTAATTTTCAGCTTGAGGTTTGATATTAAAAACCTATCAAAACTATATTTAAGTATTACATAGTGCTTAATGATCATGGATACTATTATCCTCATAGATGATAATATTTGGTTTCTTTCTCTATAGATCAGGATGTCAGTCTTGTAATTTATCACTGTTTTGTGTGTTTATGCTTTTCTTCAATGATATTAGAATAGCAGATGGAAGCTTTCGTTATTCACCTTCATGTTTGTCATGTCCCTGTTTATCAAGCCTTCCTCTTCATTTGTCTATTAATTGCTGTGAATCACAACATCATCAACATTAAAAAAGATTTTATTTTTTCTATATTACTTTTTCATCTTTTGCTGATGACTCGTTCTGGATGGAAAATAATGTTTTTTATTGCTTAAATTTATTCTCCTAGGCTACACTCTGGCCTGGCGTATTGTCATTCTTTTTGTTGTTAGTAGGTGAAAATCATATTCTTGGGATAAAGCCTGGATATCTTGTCCCCAGAAAAACTTATAAGATAATACCTTTTATGGTTCACTTTTAGTCCTAAATGTTGTATTAATTAGTGGGTTTTACACTGGGATGTTTGTAGGTTGCTCTTGACTTGCAAAAATTCAAAATTTAGATTGCAACATAGATGCTAAAGTTCTAGAATTGGTTTTCTATGCCTTTTTGGGTGAGTTTAGGGATTTGGAATTTTAGAATGAAGTTAATGATAAGCTGGGTCTCAGGCATTCTTTTAGGCGAATAATTATAGTCAGACTTTGTGAAACTAGTAGAACCAGAACCCTAACTTTCTTCTACAATAAATCAGAACTCTAACTATATAATGAGCATCTGCTGCGTTCTTCTTCAATGCGATTGCTTCGAGCATTCACTTTAAAGTCCTGATATATTGATAATTTTCTGCATTTCAGACCATTGAGATCCTGTTCAGCAAAAAGATATTCCTTAATTTGGAGGTTAGTTTGGCTTTCCTGTTTTCAGTCTATCATGCTGGTTGGAGCTATAAAATCCTTTGTCCATCTTTTGTCTCTACGGATTACCCTTGATGGTTAAGTAATTCTTCATATCTCCATGTGTTTGTCGCAGCTTGTGCGTTAATTAATGGGATAGAATTTGTGAAGAGAAAGGAAGATGAAAATTGAAGTCCATTTGGTTTTTTCCTTTCCTGCTTTCATTTTCACTTGAAACATAAAACATGCATGATTTTAAAAATGGGATAAGCTTGTTGAAAAATGGAAACGGAAATGTCCAAAAGATTTCCATGTTTCCACTTAACAAAACGTGTAATTTAGGTAATTTTACAAGAAATTCACTCCCATTACACTTCAACCTTGTGACTCTGATCATCTACTGATGGTCAAACTGAAAATAAGTAAATGCATTGTCATTTAAGGTTTTTCAAATTGAAAATGGAGACCAACAAGTTTTTAGATTCATATGACAATTATTTTAAAATATTGGAAACTCGCACATGAAGTTAGATTTTAAAAAATGAAAAATAGAGAATGAAAGCTGGAAACGTATCCAGAACCCAAAGGCACTTTAAGGTTTCTAACGAATCCAGAGATATTAAGCCCATAACATGCCAGGTCCTGACCACTAATTTTGGCAGCATCTTGTGTTATCTTTGTCAGTAATGAATTTTGCATTGTCCAAAGGAAGGAATACTTCACGCTGGTTCCCTATGATAATCAGTATTGTCGTGTTCTTTTACAAATGTTTAAGTAATCTTTAATATCGTAGAACTGATTAATAATAAAGCTTCTTTTCAAGATCAAATTATGTAGACCGGGGCTGGAGTTGTGCTTGGAAGGGGAGGTGGATTCTAAGGGGGATTTTGTTTTTGTTTTGCCTTGCTTTTCTCATTAATGCTCATGGATAATATATGCTATTCTCTTAAATGGGTTTAATGCTAATTTTGTGAGATTCAAGTATTTTTGAGCGTGATTTAAGAGGACCAGGCTTTTTTATTTAACTTAATGTACAAAAGGAATCATGAGTCATTTATACTGTTTAGTAAAAACTGCTGAAAGCTTGAGGCTCTATTATTGAATTTTTTCACCTTGACAAATTTTTAGTGAGATTTTATTCAAGTGTAAGATTTTGTTTCCAGGCTTACATGACAACTTTTTGTGCTGGCGTTTTGGATTCGTTAGCAGTTGAATTAAAGGGATCAAAGGATTTCTCTAAGTTATATGCTGGTATTGCATTACTTGGTTATGTGGCTTCAGTGCCAGACCCGATCAATACTCGGGCGTTTTCTCATCTTCTGACCTTTCTTGGTCATCGGTTTCCCAAGGTAATTTTCAAACATTCATTTAATATGGCCTTTTATGGGTCTAAGTTATATACTGTTGTTGTACTTTGTTACATGTTAAGGTTAATATTACTCTCTTTTTCTACCAAAAACAGTTAAAAAATCTCGTAGCAGATTTGCTTAGAAAGCCAGGGTAGATAGATAGTAAGATTTCTTGCTCACCATTTTTTTTTTCTTGGTCGAGGCAGATTCGAAAGCTTCAGCGGAACAAGTTTACCTTGTCCTCCTACAAAATGAGAGTCTTGTGGGAGAAGACAAGATAGAGAAAGCTCTTGAAGTTGTTTCTGAGACTTGCTGGGACGGTGACATGGATACTGCAAAACATAAAAGAATAGAGTTGTGTGACTTCTTAGGTTTGGATGTGGGGCCAGTAAGCAAGAGTAGTGGTGATGGAGCATCGAGTAAAAGCAGCAACAAAAGAAGCAGGTAGATTTGGATGAAAATGCTTCGTATTCTTCCTTGGTTGATTCATCTGGCTTCTGATTTTTGTGATATATACCACCAAGTGTGTTTTTGTGTGTACATTGTTGCTTGCTAGGGTTTGATCATTAGTATTTACAGTTGACAAATGCCAACAATTTTGTTTCCTTCTCTGTTTGTTGTGTAAACCCGTCATGACCTTCAAGAGTAGCTATATTTTCATTGGATCAAAATAGTTTTTAACTTCTCATGAATTTACTTTGAAAAAGCAGAGTTAAACTCTATTGAATCTGGATGCTTTGAACGTGAATGAAAAACAGAACAAAGTTTACAATTTAGAACATAAATCAAATTATTCGCTATGCATCGCTCAAGAAACTAAACAATGATCAGAAAGCCAAGATGGGCATGAGAAGAATAATGTTTAGAATTCAGAGCCCTACAACAAATGTCTAGTGCTTTGTTTTTTTTTTATTTTCCTGATAAAACCTTACAAGTTAACAAAA